TCATGCGGTACTCTATCGCTGCGGCAGCGCCTCGGCACCAGCATCTCTTCCGCATCATCTACACGTTGCATCATGCTAATCCAACAACAACAAAACTAGCTGGCTACCCCCCCCTTACTCGGCAGTGCCGTCTCGGCACAGCCTACTCTCAACCTCAAGCACCATTCTGATCCTCCCCTCGATCCCCTGGATCCCACTTGACCCGCTTCCTTCGTCGACACACATGGAGCGCCTCCCGCTCCGAAATGCTCAACAACTCTTGCAAGGACTCGCCTGCAAGCAGCTCCTTCTCCACAGTCCTCGAACACCCATTGTCACTTTCTCCCCCGCGCGCCTCCGCAACCTCAAAATCAACGTATTTGCTCGCCATGTCACGCCAAATTGCCTCGCGACCGGATTATCTCGCAACCCGGTCGTTAAGCTAGAGTTAGCCGTAACTAGCTGAGTCCGGTAATGCATTGATCGTAGCATGATTACCGTACAGAACAGCTAAGTAGGAGAATGAGCTGCTTGTAGCTCATTCTCTCTTTGTTCGTTCTAAGGCATATAAGGGCGGCTTTGACCAGCAACCATTGTCCCCCAGTTATGCTGCATGACGGCCAGCAGAGAGTCTCCACATAAGTAGACTGTGCTTATGTGTATGTTGTGACTAGGCGAAGGTGATCTGTGATTGAAGTAATCATTCACAAAGAGAGAATCAGCGGAACAGCGAGGACCCGCCAGCGATCCAGGTGGCGGGGCACCCGGGTGGAACACGGTGGACAGCTGGCGATGCTGCCTTAGTGCAGTGGTGAGTCAGAGTGACTCTGAGTGGAAGTTGTGTGCTTGTGGAGAAAGCATGAGCTGAGTGCGTTGTCCCAAGGTCCCAGCTTGGAGAGGCGCTGAGTGTGGAGACTGACCCAGGGTAGAATAAGGTCTCCAGCTGTGACAAAGTCCCTGACGGAGGGCGGCTGCGAAGTGCTGAGAGTTTCAGTGAGTTCAAGGGCAGCAGGTGTTAAGGCTTGGGGGGCCTGGAGTGGTAGGGCTGGCAGGTCGAGCTGACCTGGCCAAAGTGTGAGCTAGACTGCAGCTCACAGAGGGTGCCTGTTCTGGGGGATAAGGTCCAGGGCCAGTGTTAGTGGGGGTCTGTGAGACCCCGCCTGCTTGCAGCTGTGGGCTGTGGGGGGCGTAGAGTGGGCGTGCGTGTGGGCAGGTCAGCCTGGCGCGGAGGCGCAGAGCTGGCAGCTGCTGAGCCTGCGCAGGCGTGGCAGCTGCAAGCTGCATGCTCAGGGCTGTCAGCTGTTGGGCGTGCGCAGGCGGGTCAGGCGGGCGGTTGGTTTCAGGTTTGGTGGCAGCTGGGCTGAGCAGGTCAGGGGTCGCTGGTGGTGGCAGTTGGGGGCGAGGTGGGATGCGTGTCTCAGCCATGTCTTCTTCGCCATGCAGGCGTCTGTCCGCCAAGTTTTCAGTGGCCCACCAGCTGTTGCGTATGGAGCATGGCGCCAGGAGCACCTGACATCCAGGAGCTCCTGAGGCGGCTGTGTGAGCTTGGAGGGAAGGAGCGTGAGCGCGAGTTCTGGAAGGCGCATGAGTTTATACAGGGGTGGCAGTTGCTTCTAGCTGAGCTAGTGGCGGGGGTCTCGGAGGAGAGTGGCAGCTGGGTGACGTACGTTGCCAATAATCAGTCAGGGGCGGCGCTGCTGGGAATCCAAGCGCGCAGGGAGGATCACTGGCCGGTGCAGCTCAGCGCCTGCGTGACTCGCTGTGTCATTTGTGACGAAAAGGCGGCAGAGGCGGCAGGGGCGGAGGAGAGCAGCACCAGCAGGTGGGCGCGCCAGCAGCAGGCAGTGGGGGAGTTAGGGGAAGCTGTGAGTGAGGGGCTTCGGCTGGGACAGGAGGACGCAGAGTTTGCAAGGGAAGTCAGCACGCCTGAGGGTAGCAGGCGCGAGGCGCGGGAAGTCGAGCGGGTGAAGGAGGACCTTGAGCGCAGGGCGGCGGCTGATCCCGCGGTGGCCAGGGCGATTCGTCGTGCGCAGGAGTTTATCAAGGAGTGGCGCGCGTTTGAGCTGCGGCACAAGGAGTTTCCCCGAGGCAAGGTGTACGCTGCCTTTGTGGCTAACAACGCGTCTGGGGCGGCCTGCATTGGGCAAGTGCCTGATCCTGCGCAGCACCTACCTGCCGTTAAGCTGGGGTGCCCAGTTGACTGTTCCGTTTGCGAGCGCTTTCAGACATTGGGGGCAAGGGTGATCGCCTGGAGGGAGGCGCATGCGTTGGTGGAAGCTAGCGTGTGGTACGCCAAGGCGAAGAGGGAGCAGGAGGCGCGAAACGCCCGGCTGCAGGAGGTGGTTAGGATCGTAGAGGTTGCGGCGGAGGAGGCCATCAGGCAGCGGGCGAGGGGCGTGGAGGCGAGCGAGGAGCAACGTGCGGCCGCCAAACGGGAGAAGCGCAGGCGCAAGAAACAGGAGAGGCGAGCGCGTGCGGGGGCACAGACGGGCGAGAGTGTGGACGCAGGGTCGGCAGCAGGGGGGATCAGTGAGCTTGATTAGGGGCTGCAGATGCCCGTAGAAACACGAGCTCGGCAGACGATATACGGCTCCATTTTCGAGGTGTCTGCGGCGACTGAGTACAGCCAAGTTGCAGCAGCGGAGGGCAGTGAGGACACCGCTAGTGCGAGCAGTGGGGTAGTTGTGAACAGGCCGGAGAGGGCAAGTCTGTCTGCGTTCTGGTGGGAAGAAGAAGATTGGGCAGACATGGCAGCGGTCAGTGAGGGGAAGCAACGGTTTTCGGGGAGGAAGAACGAGGGGCTCACTCTGGAGCAGTTTGAGCTCCAAGTTGAGGGGAGCATCCTTGACCGGTTCACCAAGCTACAGAAAGACTTGGGTAGGCCGGTCGAAGGAGCCGAGTTCAAGAAGCGTTTTTGCGTGCACTTGGGGGAGCACATGGACAACCCCGCCAAGGAGGCGCATTTGCGCGCGTACAAGGAGTGCAACACGAAGGAGGAGCCGGTGAAGCAGCTTTTGGCGAATCTCAAACGCCACTTCGGTGAGAGGAACGAGGGTAAAGCGCAGGAATGGGTCAACTTCAGGCGGGAGGCAGGCGAGGAGTTACCGGAGCTGCTGTTCCGGCTGCAGGGGCTGGCGGGGGACCTCAAGAAGCCGTTGACAGATCCTGAGCTCGTCACCAAGTTTGTGGCTGCGCTGGACAAGAGGTTGGGGGATGCCGTCAACACGCACGCGCTGGCGGCAGCCTCGAGCGGGGACGGGGGATACACGCTCGACAACGCTTACGACGCAGCTGTGCGGGTGAGTGAGATGGCCTCCAGGTTGCGGATCGCCAGGGAGATGACTCCTAGGCCGGCAGAGGTCAGACCGAGGTGGGGCGGGCGTGCGCCGGTCGCGCACGCGGCCGTCCCTGAGGTGCAGCCAGCAGCAGCTGCGATTGTGATGACGGCTGGGTCAGCGGGGTCAGGCGCGTGCCACACTTGCGGGGAGATGGGGCACTACCGAAACACGTGCCCGCAGAGGGGCGGAGGGTCAGGTCGGGGTGGCCCGGGGAGAGGCACCGGCAGGTCCGGTCCAGGTCGGGGGGCGCGGGGACCGCGGATCTGCTTCGTCTGCGGGGACCCAGCGCACCTGTCTTTCCAGTGCCCGCAGAGGCACGTGGCACCGGCAGCGGCAGCGGTCCCCGCGGGAGGTGGTGGTGGTGCAGAGCTGGCCGCAGCAGGGCTGAGCATGTCGGAGGTGGAGGAATTCCGGGCGTGGAAAGCAGCGGCGCAGGCGGCGGCAGCGCTGAGTTTGGAGGATGACGACACTGCCAGCTGGGACGGGGATGAGTACGAGTTGGGCGCAGCTGCGTTGCCGACGGGGGGAGATGTCAGTTGGCGCCCCACTTCGTTGTGCGAGCTTGGGGCTGTGGCGACGCGCGCATCGGCAGGAGCGGATGCCCCAAGCAAAGAGGCGCGGGCGATCAGGCCTCGGTTGAAGCCCAGAAAGCAGGGGCGGGCAGGCACGCGCCCGCGGCAGGTGGTCGGTCCGGCGACGGGGCAGCCTGTGGGGACCGCTGCGCTTGAGCGCAAGGCCCCGGTTGAGGCTCTGAGACAGCTGCGAGCCCGCACAGACAAAGCAGCATTGAAGGAGCGGATGGCGAAGCTTCCGGACCAGGGACGGGAGGTGGCGGCGCAGGGCCTGCATCGGCTCCCGCAGGGGTTCAGCATTAGGACGGAGGGGACTCCGGGGGCCTCAGCACAGGCGGAGAAGCAGGGTGTGATCCAGGGAGTGGCCACGTCGACGAGAAAGGTGGCCGGGGCAGCGCCCCCGGTTGTGGTGATTGAACATCCGGCAGAGGAGGTGAGAACGGGGGGAGCGGCAATCCTGCTGGGGCAGGTCACGGTTGACGTCGAGGCGTTTCTGCAATTGGCTGACCGCGCGGGGCTGTCACTGCAGCAGGTAGTGGCCATGACGGGAGGGGTCGGTGCACCACAGCCGCAGCTCGACCCAAGAGAAGTCATGCGCAGAGCGGTTGCCACAGCGGGGGGGCCGGAGAGTGAGGCTCGGAGACCCACAGGCGGAGAAGCAGGCGGCGCCGGCGGCGCTGCGCCAGTAGCGGCGCCAGGTGGCGCGGTCGGTGCGGCGCCAGGAGCGGCGCCAGGTGGCGCACGCAGCGTGGCGCCAGGAAGGGCGCCAGGAGCGGCGCCAGGTGGCACAAGCAGAGTGGCACCAGGTGGCGCGGTCGGTGCAGCGCAGAAGATGGCGCCAGGTGGCGCTGGCGGCTCGACGCCCATCGCAGACGTCCGTCTTGGGGCAACGGTGTCAGCACCCGTGCCAGCACGCGCGCTCAGCGCGAGGGCCAGCCGTGAGGTAGTGGGGTCGGGTGAGTCAGTAATGCCCGGGGAAGCAGCCGAGGTGGGTCCGGGAGCAGAAGAACCGCGCGGTGAGCACAACCAGGTGCGGGTTACCAGCACGATTAACCCCGGGGTTAACACAGACCCGGAAAGCTCGTGGATGGCCCAGGCTAGGGCGGACTGCCTGCGGCAGGCACAGATTCGGTCAAAGACGGAGGAGGCGGACAAGCAATTAGCATTGGAAATGCTCGTTGAGGAGGCGCGGTCTGTGGGGGTCGACTCCGCGACGGCGCTAAGGGCGCAAGCGGGGCCGGTTAAAACGGTGACAAATCCACGAAGGTGGGAGATGGTCTCCCGCAAGGATAAGGGCAAGGGGAAGTTGGGGGTCAACGGTGTCGAGGGGTCCGGCGAAGCAGAACGGGGGGGGACGGCAGAGGCGTGGGAAGCGTCACACGCATTAGCGGCTTTTGCGGAAGCGCTGCCCAAAGTCCCACCCACTGAGCGCAGCCGTTGGGTCGGCACCCCGGACTGGGTGGAAAATCGAGATGGTGCCGTCAAGGTGATGACGGTTGCGGGGCTTAAAGCGCCGCTGCGGGTGCTGATTGACGGGGGCAGTTTCTACTCCATGGCGGGGGCGCGGTTGGCCCCTCAGCTCGGCTTGCCGGTGGAAAGCAACGGGGTGCTGTGCAAGGTGCAAACGGCGCTGGGAAAGGTAGAGCCGTTGGGCAAGGGGTTCACGCGAGATCCGGTGCCGATTGTGCTGAATGCCGGCACCCCGGCAGAGCTCACTCTGTATGAGCACTTAGCTGTCACCGAGTCGACGGGCTATGACCTGCTTATTGAGACCCGGGCAGCTTACCCAATCGGGCTGAGCATTGATCGGTGGTCGGAAAGGGGTACGTACCGCGTAGATTGGCGCTCGCGGGGAGAGCATGTAGCGAGCATACCCATGCGGTTGCGCCAGCCAGTGGGTCAGCGGGCGGTGCGCGGTTCGGAGAATGGAGCACCCACCGGCACAGCAGGCGTCGCGCTCGCCTGCAGTGCCACGCAGTGACGCCAGGCACCGGGCGTGGGTATGGAGGAGGACTCACGCCTGGTGCCCAAGGGGGCCGGCCGGAGGAGGCGGTCGGAAGAGACGGGAAGGTGGCCACGGGGGCCGTCACTGAGTGTGCAGGCGGAGGCAGTGCGCGCAGTGCGAAGTGCGTTGGCGGGGGAACGGCCGAAAAGTGAGTTGCCTCGACAAGTCCCGTTGAGTCAACTCAGGGGTTTGCTGCCGTTGGACTGGTCGGTAGTTGGACCGTTGCCAAGGGACAGGCCGCTGCGGGTTCTTGAGCTGTTTGCCGGGGTGGGGACGGCAACCCAAACGCTGGTCCGGCTAGGGTATACGGTCGGGGAAGTAATTGCGTGTGAGAAGCGGGGCGCAGCCCGGGAGCTGCACAGGTGGGCGGTTGCGCAGTTGAGCGCGGAGTTTCCCGGAAGGATCGGTGAACGGGCGGGAGTGCAGTTGCACCACCGATTGCCCCAGGACATCCAGCTGGTCGGCGCAGATCACCTGCTTTCCCTCGGCCCGCTGGACGTAGTGGTGGCGGGGTGGCCGTGCCAAGGCAGCAGTGCCGCGGGGCTTGGGCGTGGGTTAGATGATCCTCGGTCGGGATTGGTCGGTGAGTTGGTGCGGGTGTTGCACCACCTGCAGGCGTCCCACAGGGAGTGGGGGCACCCGTTGGCGTACGTAATTGAGCATGTTGCGGCTGGGCTCGACCGCCGGCCTCGGGTACGGGACCATTTCGCTGAGGTACGCAGCCTTCTGGGGCCGGAAGTGGTCGTGGACGCGGCACAGCTGGGTTCCCACGCGCATCGTCTGCGCGCGTGGTGGACCAATCTCGCTGACGTGGCGGTCTTGCGCGCTGCGGTCTCTGCACAGGTTCGCCCCCCCGGACTGTTTGTCCATCAGATTCTAGGCCCGGGGCGCAGTGCGATGGTCCCTCGGGGCTCGGGACAGGCTCCGTGGGCCAAAGTCGAGGTACCCGGGGAGCCAAGGCGTGCGCTGCCGACATTTGTGAGTTACAACGGGTCCCACGCCTTTTCGCACACGCGCGGTGGAGTCCTCCAGGTGGAGAACGGCCGATCAGTCACGTATGGTGAGCCCACAGCAGACGAGCGGGAACTAGCCATGGGGTTTCCCCGGGGCTTCTCTGCAGCCCCCGGCCTGTCAGAATCCACTCGACGGGAGCTCTTGGGCCAAGCCATGGATCTCAACACGGTGATGTGGCTGTTTGCGGCTTGCGCAGAGGCGGCCGAAGAGCCGTTAGTAGCTACTGTTGTGCCGTTAGGAGGGGGGTCGGAAGTGTCGAACGGCAACGGCCAGGGTGCAGGGCCAAACGTGGGCACGGCCGGGACAGTGAGGCGAGCGCAGGCGCCAGGTGCTGGTGGCGCGCCAGGAGAACTCACGCCCGCGCCAGATGTCGCTGCAGTCTGGAGCGCGCCAGGAGCGCGCGCGCTGGC